CAAAACAAAACTCAGGACATGTGCAGCCAATGCAGGCCAGATCGGCACAATACCCGCCGCCCAAGTTGGCTCGTTGTTGAGGAAAGTATCAGCGAGTTGCTCGCAGCTTGTGTCGGGGTCAGTAGGGACCTCTTCGGAGGTTCCTACAAAAGGCGAGATGGCGCATGCGGTGGCTCCGGCTTCGACCGCTTGGTTGCACAACCTGAGATGAGAGGGAATCCTCCAGTCGAACTTGCCAACTCTGCATTTGCCGGCGCAGGGTCCGGAGCGAGGGGGGGCCTGCATTCCATAGGCATCTTCCTGGAGGCTGGCTATCAGTGCGAGCAAAGCAGGCAGCAGGTAACCCCGCGTGCCGAACAGGAACGCAGCGGCTGAAGGGAGGGCACGAAACTGAACGCGGCGACGCGACGGCCCTGTGCCGGGCACAAGAATGTCGCCGTCACGAAGGTGGAGAATGGAGGACTTCGCAGCAATATCGGCTCGCAGTCTCCAACCGTTCGGGTATGAGGCCTCACCTCCAGAGGAAGGACAGCGGACGCATGGGAATGTCGTGCTGGTGCCTGGGTTGTGGAGTAGTACCTGAGCCTGGCCAAGGTCGGACTGCCGAACAAAATGACAGCAGTCATCTTCCGCCCCTATAGCTGGCACCCATCGGTCAGGCCCTGGTAGCGAGCGTGTCGACTGGAATTGGCACCATTGTGGTGTCCACTGAGAGCCTTTATCGACCCATATTCTTTCGCTCGCACGCCCGCCACGGTATTCAACAGACCAAACCCGAACCCAGCCGCTCTTGTCAATCCGAAATGGTGTATGCCACGCGTAATGGTGTGGGAGGCTGGAGAAGGGGATGACCGGCGCTTGTTGTCCCGGCCGATAAGAAGTGTGCGAGGCATCATTAAAGAGTTCGAAAGCATCACCATCGCGTAGGGTGATGTCAGCGTCCGGCCCGTGCTCAGAGGCGCGCAAGGCTGGGGGGAGACGAACCCGAAGCGTACCAGCGACAAGTCGACGCAGGAATGCATGAAGCCGCCTGAATGGAATAACACGGGGCACTAAGTGAGCGACTAAGGAACCCGGTGTGAAAACCAAGACACTAGCAAGCCTAGCCAGACCACCCGGGATGATTACGATGGGGCCCGATGGCTCAGCATTACCTATCACCAGATAAGCCGGAGCCCACTGCTGACACCATCGTTGTAGAACAGCCTGGACAGTATCACTGCTAGTATCGGCAAGGCAGCGGGCTCCCTGACTCCAGCCCTGGAAAGGGCACAGGATGGAGTAATCAAACCAGCGGGTGGCAACCTCTGCAAAGGGGCGAGGTAGATCCGGCCGCCATCTAGAGGGTCTCGGACTAGCTCTGGATGCTGCGTCAGAGGCAGGGCTACTGGAACGAGAACGGTCAGGCTGAGAAGAACGGACTGCCGTCACAAATGTAACATGGGTCGCAAATATCAGCAGGGACAGAGCTCGGAGATGCCGGCCAAGGAAAAGAGCGCAGCTAAGCTGTATTAGAGGCCCAGACTCGCCTGCATCGTCGTCGGGCCACCCGTATATTAATATAGGAACCGAACGATCCTGTGACTGGGAGTTCACTATGTCACCGTCGTGCAGAAGGCAAGGCGAGCCAGGACTATCCGCCGGCACGCCTATGATGCGGAGGCACGGGAGGTGCGGGGGTCAAGAGTAGTGACGAAGGTCCTATCATCCCGCTCCACTAGTACGTGAACACGATACCGTGAGTCCGACGCTCTTACAAATTGCAGGATTTTGCTGGGACCCCAAGCGACCGGAATCCACCGACCTGGGTAGGTTTCCTGAAAGGAGCCTGAGAACGTCAGCAGAGACGGCTGCCATTCAACTCCTGGGCAAAGCCACGTGACGATAGGACGGGGCCAATTGGAATCCCACAGCCGGATCAGCATGGTGCAGAGGACGCCGACCCCTTGGGTCCACATAGCATATCCCCGCAACATATCTTGATGCTGGAAAGCAACTGTTTGTTGCCCATCTTGTGTCTCTAGAACTTCAAGCACGTCACCGGAGCGAAGGTGCAAAGGGTCGTCAGGGGCTCGAAGTGAGGCCACATACACCGCAGGAGGAAATCGAATGCCAGCGGGGTGCCAAGGAGTGAGATGTTCAATTGCTCTGGACACTTGAGAAGGGAAGATGCACGCCGGGAGAATTATTGCTCGACTATGGTAGGTGTGGCGGACCACCACGCAGGCAATATCAACAGTGGGTGCGACTGGTATGAGAGTGAGTCTGTCATGGCGAAGACCTGGCCAAGTAGGCATATACTGTTGGTCGGGCCATCCCGGGAAGTCAGCCCTGTAGCGCTGCCATGTGGTTTCCAGAGGGGAGTGCGAGTCAGTTGTGTAGACACCCTGTGGACCTGTCCAGGGGCATAACATGGTGAATCGGCAGTGCCTGTTCCCGCTGACGTCCTGGGCAGTGCGTTCGTGAGGCGGGAGCCGCCAGGGAAAAGCCGAGACACGGTAAATGGGCTTAGCATCACCTGCCTCAAGCATGCCATTGGCCGCGGCGAACAGGGCATACCAGCCAAGGAGGGTGGCAGGCCAACGAGGAAGAAGTGCTGCAACCAGGAGCAGGCTCCCCGTTGACACGTGGTGAGCGGCATCACGCGCAGGCTGAGGTGGAGGGGGTCCAAACGGACCAAAGTTGACCGGCAGGCATTCGCCATCGCGGAGCTGGGCCTGGTCCTGAGTGATACGTCGAGTAGGGTAGGGTGCAATGACTCGACCCTCTCGATTACCAAAGCGATATGGTCTGGAGCCCCTGCCAGGGAAATAGCGGCTAATGCACATGGGATGCAAATCGCCCTCAGCGGCAAGAAGGACGGAGACTAGATCATGCCTTGCTGCAGCAGGTATGAGGTGAATCGCCTGAATGTCGGGTTGAGGCTGAACGTCCACAATCGGCTGCCAGCCCCGTCGCTGGGCGTAGTCAGCTAAAGTGTTGCACAAGATACGAGCCGTTCCCTGGACTGTGGTCCGCAGGCGGCACTGGGGCCGTCCAGTAAAAGGGTTGTGCATAATAACTGGGTAACCTGCCGGGATATAGGGTTCCCCTTCGGGCACCTGGATAGAAACACCTCGTATCGCGCAGGAGAAATGGTGCTGCAAAGCGCAGATGTGCTGTTCCGCTCCGGGTGTGGGAGGCGAGACGAGGCGGTCTTGGTCAGGTACGCTGGTAGAGGCGATGGAGTCGGAGCTGGGCAAGACGACAGGACTTTCGCCGGGTACTTCAGAAAGACTAGTTGGGGGTGTGGGAGCCTGTACGTCTTCCAGGAAGGAAGGGCTGCTTGGGTCGGAGAGTTGCGGAGCATCCGAGGAGCTGTCGTGGTCATGGTCTTTTGCAAAAGCCCCTACCCCTTGCCACACAACAGCGCCCAGCAAAAGCTGCCCAATGTGGGAACAGGAGGCACCGTGGTGGTTAAGCATAGCAAAGCAGCTTAGTGCAAATCCAAGCATGGTGTGGCTGGGGGACCTGAAGGCCGAGCTCCTTGTGGAGTCTCCTGTAGGTTCAGCGCTTGTGGCCTCAGCGGACCAGGGGGCAACTTCGGGAGCCGGCATAACTCCGGCAGTTTCCAGCCGAGTGACGAGCACCTGCAGGTCATTGCTAACTTCAGCTATTTGCCGCTCAAGTTGTCTACAGACCTGTGTCGCCTCGGAATCCGGGGCAGTGACAGCTTCAGAGGATGACCGTGCAATATTGCGCGAGGCGCGTGGGTTATCATAAACGTCTAGGACAATAGGCAGGCTGCCTCTGGCTCCCATGCAAATATCATAGTCAAAAGGCATAATGCAGCCTGGGTCGGCAGGGGCATCCCAGCCGGTATAGCCCAAGCGGGGTTGAAGCGAAGTTCGCACAAGATGTATAATAGCGCCGTGTGGTGGAACGCCAATGGATTCACCATACTGAACCACCCGGCTTTGTTGGACCACGCCGAAAGTGCCTTGACCGAACCAGGCCTCTCCGAAAGCATCAGCCGCCAGAGCCCCCACAAGGGCCCAATCGAAAGCCAAGTCGGATGCTGCAACAACGTGTCCTCTAGCGCGGTAGTGCAAAAGCCAATATACATAAGGAGGCACTGTTCGCGGAGGGAAGTGCAAAATGTGCGCCCTCCCTTGGACGACTCTAGGCGAGGTCCAGACAAAGTCGCCCGCGGGGGGGATGCCCCGACCTGTGCCTTCGATCTGGCGATGCATGCGAGTAAGGTCAGGCGTGGAAGTGAAGGGGATTTCCACAGGGGCCTCGCAAGAATACGTCCATATCCTAGAGACAACCGGTTCAACCTGGGGCCTGTGTTGACGGGCTGGAACGGCAAGGTCTTGCGGGGATGAGAAGCCGGGTGGAGCGTGCATAGCAAGCACCGGATGCCTAGCTGCAAGGATGCCCAGGAGAAGAAAGACCCAGCAAGAGCTGTAACCCCTGGCTCGAGCTACCGTGCCAATAGCAACATCGTACAGTGCAAGGCCACTTTCAGTCATCTGGCCTATGGTGCGGGGAAAGGGGAGTGTAATCGTTGCACGCACACCCTGAGGCAGACGACTTAGACGCGAGACCTCAGGGGCACAGGATAGCGCCTGGGCTTGGCCGTGGGAGTTGAGTGTCATGACGTATCGAGCACCAGGTTCTATCCACAGAGCCACAGGACGCAGAAGCTCGCGACTCAGGCCATCTCGGACTATCCACCAAGCTGTGGGACCGGCAGGGGTAGACACCAAGTCAAGAGTTGTGCCAAGGGTGTCATAAGCAACGGCTAAGGCTCTGTCAGTGGTATGGCCGGCAGTAGACAGGAGTTGACCGAAGCGCTCGAGTGGAGAGTCCCTGTGGAACTCGAAGGCTGCTGGTCCCTGATAGGGGGTCCACAACTGGACGCGCACCAAAGGATCCGGAGATATTGCACGAATGTATTCGAGAACATCCCCGGCCTCGATACTAAACGTATTTGCCTGGCAGGACAACTCGTGTCCCTATGCTACAGTGCAAGTGCGGGTAGTGTTGAGCACGGGGGCAATACCATTGTCTTCCTCGTCGACTGGCTCCTCGGCTCCGGAAGTGCCCCATGTGTGTGCGCCAGGAGCGCTGACAGAACTGTGAGTGTTATAAGTCGGGCACCTCTGCGGGGAACTGGCAGTGGCCAAGTGGCACATAAAACAACGAGTATTGCTCGCACGTTCAAGCGCGATGCGTCCGATGTGCTCGCGGGTGGTGCTCGAACCTGAGAGTGGTTGGGCATTTGAGGGAGCTGGCCTTAGGCTGGGTCTAGCCTCAGAGCTAGCAGCACACAAGAAGGGGTCGCTCCCGGATTGTAAGAGGTGCCCACATTGGCCGGCGAGACCTTGTATATCATCGGGCCAAGTCCACAGGTCGTGATCTCCCATAATTTCCATGCCAGATAGGTCCCACGGGTTCGCTTCGGCGATTGTGAGTACGTGTTGCCACGTCACTTCAGCAGTGCAAACACCGAAGACAGCAATCCCAATACGGAGACCCCAGGGTGTGTATCCTGGAAGGCAAGGCAACAAGCACTGGACGTTGAAGCGTGGGCACGCTAGTTGAACATATGGTCCGTCGGGGCAGAGTTGAGGCAGAGGAATGCATGAACGGACTGCTGGAAGTTGTGGTATTGCTGAGGACGCAACCGCAGACGCAGTCGCCGGCCAGTAACTAGGATTAGTCTGGGTACCCACAGAGCCTCGGACAGGGGTGGTGGTGGTATTCCCAGGTCTCAAGACATCCGGCTCCTGACTCTGACTGAAGCTCCACCCAAATTGATAAGCACGCAGCGAGTCAACAGCAAGTAAGGATACAGCAGGCTGACCTAATGTCGGGTCTGCAACTGGATATAAGACCGGCAGTGAGTCGCGGACGCGGCGCCAGAAGGCGTGGAAGGGGCGCGCTTCGCTAGCCAAATCGTCTAGAGCGTCTCCGGGCCAGGAGGTAAAGACGGATGCCTGGATAACAAGTCGCTGCCATAGCCCGAGAACATCAGCAGCAATCACGACGTGACAGGACGTGTCCTGCGGGGTAAAGCAAAAGACTGGTGTCGGAAAATGGTAACCCGCAGGCAGCGGCGGGATGCGGTATAGGACCCCAGTAACCCCATAGGTAGAGAGAAGCAGGGCTGGTATGCTGGTCTCTGGCTCGGCAGGGGCGGGTATTATCCTAACAAGATCAAGGAAGGGGCCTACGACATAAACCTGATCTTCTACACCCAACCAACTGACAGAAGGGGGCACAGGATGGAACGAAATGCGGCCGACTTCGGCGACTTCGGTGGCTTGTTCAGAGAAGACGCGCAGAAGCTCGCCGTGTCGTACCGAAGCAACAAGGCCGCGGTTAATGCGGAATTCTTCGTGTCCACATTTCTGCCGTAGTTGTTGGAAAAGGTCAGCAGCGAGTCGGTGGCGGGTAACATCCAGACAGTAAATACGGTAGCCGAGATCAACCAGAATAGTGACAAGTTCGGGATCCTTATGCGGGGCGACAAATTGGATGCATGGCCACATAAGCTGGGGTAGGACAAGGGCAGGGATGCGCCGTTGTCCAGTGGGGTCCGTGAGACGGAGGCGGTGCTGCAGCTGTGTGGCCATATCGTCAGCAGCCAGAGTGAACTGATGGGTTTTGTCCGGAGTCCAAACTTGGATGCAAACCTGGGTGCCTATTCGCTCGAGACGACCCGCTATGTGGGAGCTAGGTGGCAATGCTTCGGCAGGTTGCGAATGCAAAAGGTTAACATATCGCTGGTGGGTAGTCACCGAGACCAAATCAAGAGATCCCCTGAATATGGTGCTGGCAGGCTGTTCTGGGACAAGCCACATGTCGTCAGGATGAGCGCGAAACTGAAAACGGCCAAGCAGGCCAACACAAAGCAACACGCCTGCAAGTAGGCGGTTTCTTGAGACCAAAGCGACAGAAATCCATAGAGGCAGAGACGGTGTTGACCCCTGTGAACCGGATTGAGGATCCTCGTGGGCCAGGGCACTGTCGAGGATTGGGGGGGACTCTCGAGGAATGACCTTCCAATCGACGGTGATGACCCTAATGCCCCGACGACTAGGCAAGTGTTGATTCTGAAGGCCGCTGTCGCTAATCTTGAGCCACCCGGCACGTAGCAGTGCTGGCAATGCCTCGCATGTGGGCAGGTCAGCCTCTAGCAGACATGTGTTAGACGTGGCGCCCGGAAGAACGGTTGCGAATGAGAGGCCCCCTCCTATGCCTCGGAAATCAACGAGCACAGACCTATCGACGTCCTCAAGTTCCAGGGCTATGAGTTGGGTGCCCGGCAGTGCTGCTAATGGCAGCTGCGGCCGCAGGAAGACTGGCTCGGTGAGGCCCAGGTCGCCACGGATCTCCCTCATAGTGCGGGCACGGTCTGAATCAGCAAAGCCATCACCCGTAACATCGTGCAAGAGAATACCTCCTGGGTAGATAACTGCAACGGTGCGCATTGACTCAGTTAAAACCTCAGTTGAGGTTACTGCTGCACCAGGGCTAGCAGGGGAGGGGTCGGCATGTGTAAGGGCAACAGTTTGAACATCCGATGGTAGCAGACCTCTTACGGAAGTGCCTCCTGGGATAAGCAGAACCTGTGCAGCTGGGTGCATAATGGTAACGCCGGCCTGACAGTAGTAGTGCTGGGGCACATGGAGGCGCTGCGTCGCCGCGGCAGCGGCTATCACATCTGCCCCGGTGGCGGTACAGGGCACGGAGTGTGCTGAGATCCCACCTCCTAAAGGCCTTAAATCAACCGGAACGGCAAGCTCATTCCAGTGCTGCAAGGTGCTGCTAACGATGTATTGCTCCTGTGGCATGTGTGGGAGGGGCGGAAAGACTTGCAAGCACCGGCTGGTGTGCCTGTCACGTCCAAGGGCCACCAATATGGCGTTATGCAGGAAACATCCGCGCATGCGGACCTCAGCTCTGCAAAGTGTGGGCCAGTGATCCGCACTCGGATCAAAGATGCATATGTCACGTGCAGGCATAGAAGCGGGTGGGTCATTGGATTCGCCAGGGTGACGAATGATGCGGAGTGGCATGACCTCAGTGGCATCTCGCGTGCTCGGCACGGGCTGGGTGTCGAGCACGATTGTGCCTCGAGGGGACGCGACAGCCGTGAGATGCATGGCAGAATTTGCAGGAAAGCACAGCAACCACAAGAACAGGAAAGTTCTGGCCTGATGGCAGGGTTTCTGACGAGGGCTGCCCCCGAGGCTGCCGACAGTTCGTGAGAGCCCATGACCAGTAACAGATGTGGCCCGGTTTGTTTTGTGCTTGGACCCGCAGGCGCGGAAGGGTCGGGAAAGCAGTAACCTTCGTGTAGCCATCTCCAACTCATGACGGCATAAGCGACATGTTGCAGAGTAGCAAGTGTGACGCAAGATGAACCTGTAGACCTAGACCTGGGCTGGGAAGCATCAGTGCTGTCAGTGTGACCACCGATCCTGGTAGGACAGGTCTTCAGGATTCGGGATCCGCTCGAAAAGAGGCTTCGCTGCTGGGCTGGCTGTTCGGTAAATTCGCCGCCAGTGGGCACGGATATTGCAGCAGACCCTGAACCTCTGGGGCCATGGACGCTTCGGAGGCTAAATATCCCCGAACGGGCCCCCCTTGCTCTACAATTAAGGCGGGGAAAAGCCATTCTTGTGCTGTCACTGGGGCGTAACTGTACGGGTCTAATAAACCGCCTAGAGTAATGTGTGCCGCTAGAATGACACCTTGCCTGACCTGTGGCAACGCTGTTGGCGTATGGCGAAGAGACTGTAACATGCGATGTAGGGCTAGGCACACTTGTAGCACTTGTCTCTCGTCTTTTCCTCGCGCAACTGTCTGTAACTCCGACCATGTTTGCTCGGCCTGCTGACAAACAGCTTGGGCATCTCCCGTGGACTCCGACAGCGGCAGAAACGCATTCTGAGCCTCGTCCACGGCGAGGTCGCCAACACGATCTGCTCCGTGTTCGACAGCAAAAGATATAAGCTGAAGCCAGAAATGCCACCAGGATGGGGGGGAGCTCGATGTCCTGTGGTCGTGATCTGGAAGTAGCTCTGGTTCGTCCTCCATCTGGGTATGAGGTTCCCTCCGCGCGCCTTCTGGAGTGCGTCCAGTGGCATCCACACGCCAAGGACTGGCCAGCGCTTCCAAATCTCTCCGTGGACTCTTTGAGGGTCGTTGTCCTGAGCCTGCATTGCGGCGTTTCCACCGTTGGCCCCTCGAGGCGACGGCAGCCGTGGATGGATCCATTGGCATATGTCCGCCGAAGCTGGCCTCCGATGTCTGATCCAGAGGGAAGGTGCTGCTGGGTTGAGAGTCGGGGGCCGCACCAGGAATTGCAGCACCCGCCATTATACCACCCGCTGCAGCCATATGATCTCGCTGGTCCGGTTGGTTGAATAGGAGCTGCGGCCCATGGGCACTCGATGCCGCTGTGGAAAGAGGCAACTGTGTTGGTCGAACCGCGCTGAAGGCACGCAGGGCCGCGGAGAGCTTCACCACCTCCTGCTCTTGTGGTGGTGACCATACAGGTCCCATAGAATTGGTCGCAGCCAGCAATTGCTCCTCTGTAGTCGAAGACGGTTGTTCGATGAGGTACTGCTGCATCTCTTGTACGGCCGCGGACAAGTCCTCGTCCAGTTTGGACCCGATTGCACGCATCCGGCCTAAAAGACCCAAGAGGTGCTGGCTTATCTGAGAAAACCATTCCCCCACTGCGATGGCCAGGTCCTGCTTTGCTTTTGTATCTCCAGTAATGCGCTTTGAGAGCTTGCCTGCCAGGTTTGACCTCCTTTGAGCGATTTGCTCTGCTGTGAGGCTGTCGGATTGGAAAGCGGCAGTGCCCCACAAATCTTGAGTGGCGCGAGTGGAGATGGATTGTAAAGCTGTCACGACTGTAGGGGGTAAGCCGAAGTCGATGTTGGACGTTTGTGGACCATCTTTCCCTGTTTTGCCCTTGCCATTGCCGCTTTTGGGCTGGTTCTGCGAGGGCTTTGACGGTGGCATCGATCCGTGATGCCGAAGCAGGAGGCCAATATCTGCCTCCCTGTTCCGGTGCTGCCTGCAGCAACGTAACCGGTAGCGGGCTTTCGATCGTGCCCGCCGCTGACGTCGGTGCCAGCTGGGGCTGTTTGCCCGCTTCTTGCGGGCTTGTCGGGCCACTGCTGCCCCAATATATCAAAAGAACTCCAAGAAGTAGAGGTGGAAAAAGTGGGAGGTATGACCTCCGATATGACATATGCCCAAGAACCAACCAGTGTCACTGACGTCGGCCGAAGCAGCGAAGTCAGGAGCGGCCAAGTTGTAAGCTCGGAGCGCGCCTCCGAGGTAAAAGTCGGCCCAGCTAAGAGCAGCGACTTTGAAGGCCCTCGACGGAGGGCAAGGTCCTGCACAACGCAGCAGGGACCCGTCGCGATATGGCAATCGCTGGGGTTGGGAAGCACAGACTTGAGCCTGCCACTGCCACAGCAGATGCAGGACGAGTTCTGCTCGAGCCGCAACGCCTTAAACCCTGAACCCTAAATCCTAAATCCTAATCCATCCATTCTTGAACCAAGTGAGAGAGACTGCAACCATCCAACCTGAATGCAATCCCAAAGCCAGCAGCTTCAAGTAATGCAGAGGTCTGGACAGTCACAGTAAGCCCCGTAGTCCCTATGCCTTCACCATAAAGTATGATGTACATCTAAACCGGCTAAACCCGAATCAAGTTCCAGTTACCAAGGCCCCCATAGTACCCGAGCTTCCCAACCCTAGTCAACCCTATCCAACATAAAAGCCCCCAAAGCATGAGCAGACGCAGGCTCCAAACTCCAAAGCACCAAAAATGTGTCCCCGAAACCCCGAAACCCTAAACCCTAAACCCTAAACCAACACCAAAAAACAACTCAACCCTAAACCCTAAGCAAAAAGCACCTAAACAAGCTCAGGTCGCCGCTTTGGACCTTGCAGGCAGGTGCTTGTCAAATCCTATCACCTTGATGGGTTTGAGGGTCACGGCAGCAGCCCGAGTATGATAAGCACCAATATACTACCTGCATCTTGGCCCCAAAAGTAGAGACTTGAGGTTTGGAACCTGGCATGAGAGAAAGTCCCTCAGACATGCGGCTTCTCTTCTATCGGAATCTTCCATGGCCCGAAAGAGCCTGGATCCTTAGTGAGCTGTAGCGCTTGCTGCATGTCCAATCAGTCGTTCGTCGGGCACAGATGCATGGGTAGTTCCCTAAACTAATTCGGGTTCCCTTTCAGGTCCCCAATAAAGTACGGCACCCTTATAGCAAGGACCCCCCCAAAAGGGACGCTACTTTAGAGAACTACCCACATACATGTCGCAAAGGATTGCAAGATGTCCGCCCTTGTCTTGGGCCTTATTCCGCACCGAGGTGCTTGAGCCAAGAGGTCTGAGCACCAAATACAGGAGCCGACTACGCCCTGAACCCTAAAACCTGTTATCCCCCACGCCTGGAACCCAAAACCCCAAACCCTAAAACGCTAAACCCAAAACCCTAAAACCCTGAACCCTATAGCCCTAAACCCCCAAAACCCTAAAACCCTAAACCCCAACCCTAAATCCCTGAACCCTTAAGAAACAAAAACAAGCTGATATAGGGGCCTTCATAATTAGAATAGGGTTTGGGGTATGTTATGCTATAAGTATAATAAGGAACCCTCAAAACCCTATTCTAATTACTTAGGCCCCAAACCCTGAACCCTTAAGACACAAAACATGAGCCCTAAACCCTTACGAAGCACATAAGCTACCCTTTTCTCCGGGAGGCGCTCGGGAGCTTAGTGGCCTCCAGTGTCTGCGCTCAGCTTTGGGGGGGTGGGGTTCGAGCTCAGGGGTTTGACGGGGTTTAGGGCTTAAGGGTTATCACGTTTAGGGTTCAAGCATTTAGGATTTACGAGTTTAGGGTTCAAGGGTTTGGGGTTCAAGGGTTTAAGGGTTCAAGGGTTTAGGGGTTTAGGGTTCAAGGGGTTAGGGTTCAAGGGTTTAGGGCTCAAGGGTTTGAGGGTTTAGGGTTTAGGGTTCAATTGTTTAGGGTTTAAGGGTATAGGGTTTAAGGGCTCAGGGCGTATGGTAGGGATGGTCATCGGGTTTGAAAGGGCAAAGTTTGGGATGTACCAAAGGGCAGTTCTCTAAATTAGGGTCGCTTTTTGTATCCTTTTTGTAAGGCTGCCGCGCCATATCGGGGACCTAGAAAGGGCCCACATACCGGTGCTGTTGACCCCTGTAGGATTTCCAAGGCCCCCAACTCAAAAGCTTGAACCCTAAGTAGCACTCAACAAAAAACCCTAAGCTCCAACACCGAAGAACCCCCCACCTAAGGGTGTGGGCCCTGAACCCTAAAGGACTATAAGCCCCAAAAAGCCCTATAAACTCCCAAGCCCTGCAGGCAGAGTGCCAAAAAACTTCCCAGGCTTTGCCGGCGAGCTCCGGCACCCGGAGCTTTGCCAAGCCAAGCCCCTGCGGGCCAGGTGGGCACTGAACAGCAGAGGCCTAAATATTTGTACCGGTACTACGGCTGATGATTGAAATCCTGCATTACCCACAATAAGGAATATACCATAGTTCCCATAGTTTAAAGTTTAGGGTCCTGAAGGAAATGCAGGATTTCTATCATCAACAGTATTCTGGTGAATTCCTGTACTTATAGTATAAGATACCCCACAGCTCGGTTCTATTGAGCAGAAGGTGGGCTAGTTTAAGGGTTCTCTGTGGCATCTACAGGGGTTTGTAAGCTTGGTCAGAGTATCCCATCATGGTCCCAAACAACCTCACCATAACGTGTATCGTGTAACCCACAAATGTGACTATGCTCTATAAGGTTCGAGGGCTTGGGGGTGCAGGGATCTCAGGCTTCGGGGTCTTCAATGGTTTAGGGTTTCGTTTGGGAATTGGCTCGGTATTGAACACAGTGTTGATAACTGTGGGATTCACCTTTCCATACCTTTTGGCTTTCGGGTATCGGGTATTGTGGTGGACGGCTTCAGGTTAACATCATGCCTGTAAATGGAGTTCAAGGGGGCAGGGCCTTGCTTTTTGCTTTCGGCTTCAAGGAATCTATGGCTGGGGAATCATCTAGCGGTCCTTCTAATATGGATCCTGCCGTTGAAAATTCTAGGCTACCTTGTTTTCTGGAACTCCGTGTGTTGGTACTTAGTGACACACCAAAACGGTTTTGACTGAAGTTGCTTGACTGCTTTGATCCTGGCGTGCCCAAGCTACTGCCAATGGCTTGGTACTCATGGGAGGACTCCCGTGTGCAGGCGTGCCTTTGCCTTCTTAATCTTTTACTGACGTTTATTCACCGTTGCTCAGGCCATCATGGCCGAGATGTACCCACATCATTGGTCAACCATGACTCGGCTCAGGGTCTCTGTGTTTGTTCCAACCGGATTCCAACCTGGAGTCTCGAAGTTCTGCACCGTAAGTGCAGCAGAGAAACAGTTTGAACAGGTCCCGGACGCTGTCTCCTCTGAGCTGCCACGCGTCCGGGCTATATTTCCACATGAGGCGTCGGTATCTCTACCGGTGACAGGCCGGCCGCCTAGCGCTTGGGCGTGCTTTCCATTTTGGTTCCAACCCCTTAGGGCGTGTGATGTCGGTGGCTCACGGGCTGCAAGAGCCAAGGCCATCTCAGAGCTTGCGAGGCTTGAGAAGCGTGCTGCGACAACTGCGACAAGATCTTCGGGCTTCTGGCAAAGTGGCATGACAAAGTCCCTATAGCCCTAGCGGAAGGTGGCGTCACATCAGCCATCGCGGCAGGCGCCCTGCGAGAGCCGCCTTCCGATCCACATCTGGTTTTGACCCACCCTCTCCTTTATTAGGCGAGACTTCGAACCTTTTACCTGCCAGCGCGGCAGGAGGCGCCTGCTCACACATGTTGTGCCAATTTCCTGTTCTGAAGCAGAAGAGGCCATGGGCAGCCGTGAGAAAGTGAGACGGCTGTGCGTGTGCATTGCATGCTCATATGTCCGACCAGGCATACCGAAAGCGTGGCTTGTGGTTGAGTGCCGGCCCCACTTGGTTTCTTTGCTGTTCACGCATTGGGAGTTCTGAGATAGCAAAGATTGCAGCGGACTTTCACGCCACTTCAAACAGGTTCTTGTTTCCCGAGTCCGGCTGACTCCGCAACATTGCTCATGGCACGGTTACTTCGTTTCACTAGCATTGCCACTTTGCAATTTTTCGTTTGTAAAAATACCTGCTGTGAAATGATAAGACAAGAGCAGCGTCAAGTCCGCTGCGGGTTGTGCAAGCACAGTGCCCCAGTCATGTCCGACTTGCATGTGGGTGCCGTGTGACAGAGCCTTTGTGATTCGACGCGCCGCCAGCATCTCTCCCTGAAGTTCTTGACAGCTCTTGGCATGAACTCTGTTCGGTTGTCTTGCTTGCTATTCGCTGCATTCCTGGCCACCTTTCGTGCTGCAAAAATAGGGGCAGGGCAAGGGCATTGCCTCGGGGAGCGATCCAAAGAGCGCAAGGGCATCCAGCCGAGGCCAGAGCCAATTCAACGCCATCATCCTTGCTTGAGCTTCCCATGGCTGCGAATCCAATTCCACCGGCTGCCCTTAGCACAAACGACACCATTCAAGAGCAGCACCAGCGAGCTACAGTTGCAAGATTTCCCGAAGGCAGACTTGGCGACAGAGGAAGCAGCGGCAGACTTTGGCAACAGGAGAAGCTGCCCGTCAAACAGACTTGAGCGGCTTGTTGGGTGTGCAGCTGGACCAGCCCCAGACTGCAGAGGGCCCTGTTTGCTCGCTATCGGCATCGGCTCCAAACGAGTCAATGTCCATGGCCGAGCTCCACCTCCTACGGGAGCGCTACAGCATGAGAAAACACGCTAAACACGACAGGCGAGCATGAGCTGCATCGCGGAAGCTCCCCGAGTTGGGTAACTTGTGTGACTCCTTGCTATCGTTGTTGGCACGTGTGAAGGTTAACGCGGTTTCTATTATACTATTACTTAGCTAAGTTGAGGGGGTTGTAAACAGTGCATGTTTCAAGTAGACGTGAGTGTGTGAATTCATGTGCGCACGTGCGTTTAAATGTAC